TTCTTATTGCTTGTTTTTTAAGCGGTAGCGCAAGTAATTTTCATTGTATTGTGAAATTCGACTTCTGAAAGTAGAGGGATTCATCCGATTGCAGCAGCTGGCAAAGCTAAGGTGACTGATCGAATTCGTTAACGCTTAGGCGATTCTTAGGTTAGGTTTAAATTTTTCTTATTAACTAAGCACCGTGAAGAGGAAATTAGTTTCATGCTTGGCTGCAATCACTAGAATGGATAGCAAGTTGAAGTACAAGTGCTAGCAGCCCAGATGATGAAGCAGTTTCGTATGATCAGTGTTATGAAATTTTTTGTTGTCGTTATCTAATTGCAGCAAAGTTTCAATATTTGAATCAAAGTTGCGCAGGTTGGTGATGATTCTCCCTATGAAATGGTGCTTTAGATTCTTCTCAGTATTTATGTTGCTACTTCATAATTCGCCAAGACGGCGATAGTTATTTTTCTCGTCGAAAACACAATGTTTCAAGAAGGTGCTTCCACATTTAATAATGCCCTTGACGCGTTTTTGACCAGTCAAATTTAAAATTATAGTAATTTTGTTCGTTGTAATTCGCATTCACCCATCCAGTGTGTCTGGCCTTTCACTAGCTCAAGGTTAAAACTATTATCTCAACTGTTAGTTCGATATGGTCCTAAAGATGGACCCGAGACGCCGGACAAATTGTACTAAGTAGTAGAGAACTACTCTGCAGCATGTGATGCTTGATCTCTTACTCTAATCGGTAATAATTATTTTTATTTGCTCTAGCTTATTACTGCATATGGTAATAGTTATTACTGCGTAAAGTAATACCTGTGGGACTACATGTTTTTGTACAGTGTATTGCGCCACACGGAATAACTGGAGCTATTGTAACCTGCTCTAATACTCCCGAGTAAATTATAACTACCATTGCAACGTTCAGCGACGACTGACTGTAACGGCAGCATGCCCTTTAGACGTGAAACGAACTGGAGATAGCTCCCCTTTCACAGAGGACGAGAAATGTGGCTCGAACAAAGGAGGTAGCGCCTGTCTTTTACAAAGGAGCGGAAATGTGGGCCGAACAAAAGAAAGAGTCCTCGCTCTCTCCATGTCGTAAAATAAAAGCGCACATCCCACAGGAAGTATAGCCAACAGGTCAACGCGCATAGGTCCCCGAGGATAAACAAAGAATCTAAGACATAAAAAGGATCAGTCGGTGCTGGAACGTGGAGATTATGGTCTAGATATGAAGACTATGAATAGCAACCCCCGGTCGGTGGCACTATTTCATGTAATTTATTGCAAGGCATTCAACGTCGTCTTCGATGCAATGGGATGGATGGAGGGATGCCAAGAGTTTTTGTCATTTACACTAAGGCTCTGCGATAAACGAAAATATGGAAATGCAAAACGATGTTTTCTTATCATTTTCGATACTCTGTTAGTTTGAGGTTGTTGCTACTGTGTACAGTAGTACGCGAATTGTCATACCTTTTTATGATAATATATTACCTTGAACAGAAATGGTGTGATACTGGAGTCTGCTGTTGGAGGAGATATTAGTAATTTTTTGTTTCTTCTACTACGGTACTGTACTACTGCTTATTCTACTACATCAGTTCTCGCTTACCGTACTACGCTACTTCTGGTAGCGACAGTTAATGTATTCTTGTGGCGGGGTGGCGCGGTGTCAAAGAGGTCTGCATCGAACTCCTATAATGCCGACTTCGATTCCGATCAATGACAATCTTTGTCTTATTCACAAATTACCTTGAGCAAGGAATTTTCTACGTATTGCATCAGACCGGGATTGCTCAGTCGGTAGAGTGTCGAATTTAGAACGGATAGTTCCCGAATTCAAGCCACGTTAGGGGCCACTCTGTCTTTTCCTTTTGAGGTTGATAAATGAGTATCACTCTATGAGAATGAAGCAGAAAATTGTAGGTTACGTTTGTCACATGGTTCTAGACTGCTTTAAAAATAAGGCGCTCCTGGCTGATTGTATGGAGATGGTTGAAACGCAGATTAACACCGCATTATTAACTTTACGTAAAGG